ATATATATATATATATATATATATATACTCTCCTCCTCCTCCTCCTCTCTCTCTCTCTCTCTCTCTCTCTCTCTCTCTCTCTCTCTCTCTCTCTCTCTTTCTCTCAGTTTAATATCATTCCCCCGATTCTGTTTGTCGATCCGATGTTTTTTTTTCTTCCCCCACTTTATTCTATCGGCAAGTAAACAGAAATGTCACGTAGAGATCGGAATATTTTTACGAGAAAAAAAAAAAGAAAAAAAGAAATTTCGGATCAGCACCTTCAACGCTTTTTCTCTCACTCCCTGTTAAATTTACACTTATTCCTCCCGGTACGAAATGTTCACTTACATTCACTTTTACGTTCGCTTTTATAATATCGAATCGATTATAGTTAATCAACTGTTTGCAATCATTCTCGTTAAACAACTCACCGTGAAACAAATGCAGGGTGATCGCTGTCACCGTCGTTGTCGCCGTCGTCGTCGTCGTCGTCGTCGCCGTCGTCGTCGCCGTCGTAGTCGCTGTCGTGCCTCTATTCCGAGGCGTAACCATAGTGATTAGCGATCGATAACAGGCATGCGCGTTGTCAAATTTACTCGTAAAACGAAAGAACCACCCTCGTTTTACTCTCTCGTATCAAATGATTCATTACTAATAAAGATTAACGAAACTACATCTCCGATGATCTATGCACCTTACTTACCCTTATTCTTATTCTTTATCGTTCTTTATTCGTGTGCAGCCGAGCTCGATTTATTAACGATTTCTTTTTCTTTTTTTTTTCTTTTTTGTTTTTCCAATTAATTCAATTTATTTAATTACACTTTAGATATAGATTTTATCCTTACAAGTAACATCTCGATGTAACATCTGCACGTGATTCAATGATGCACGTACATATACGGAAGTTTTAAAATCATTATCGTGCAAACGATTTATATTTTGTACAGCACTGTAAATATTATAAATAATTATTAAAAGTTTCAAATACGATGTTATAAAAATATCTATTGAGAAGATTAAATTTATTAGTATTAATTTATTTTTTACCATTTATATTAGATATTCGATAGTTAAAGATAATAAAAATAATGACGATAGTATTATATAGTATTTTTTAAGTTATAAAATACATCAATAAATTTATTTCCATAATTGAACTTATAGATTTATTTTTTTTTACTGCATAACGCGTATATATTTTAATGATATTATGTGTTCATAACATGCTTTTAAATATATGAATTGTGCGATAAAAAATTAAAAATTAAGCACAAATTGGGAAGAAAATTTAATTTAAAATTTATTTAATCTGTGATAACATAATATTTAAAATAGTTTTTTTGTTGTGGAAAAAAATTGTATTAGAATTTTTGAGCGCGGTACATTTCAATTTAATAGATAAAAAAAAATAGAAAATAAAAATATTTGAGCAAATTGTAATATAAAACTTGATCATACGTTATAATTGTATAATTTTATGTTTATATATCTTATATACACACACATATATATATATATAAACATTATATACGTATATAAACGAAATACTAAAAAAAAAAGAAATATACGACAATAACATTCAATTATCAAATATATAGTCATCTGGATGTATCATGAAAATCTGTTGAAATTAAATTTATTAAATTATCCATTTTTATAAAAATTTGTGTAAATTTATGTTGCCAAATTTTAAAAGAAAGTTTTGACATTATTATAAATATAAATTAATAACATCTTTCAAACATAACCTATATTTTTTTGGTGTTTAATTGAAATCAATTTGAAACGATGTTAAAAAAAATAACATTGAATTTTAAATCAAATATACGTTTTCTTAGTAATTTATCAGCAAAATGTAAAGAAAATGTTGAAGATAAAATGCAAGCTTGGCAAATTCATTCATATGGAGGTTTGGAAGAACTAAAACTCTCAAATGTCAGAATTCCAGTAATTAATAGACCAACAGATATTCTTGTGAAAATTGAAGCTTCTAGTGTAAATCCTATAGATATATATATGACACGTATGCAATATTTTATATTACATAATTACTTATTTACTAAAATATATAATAATTACTTATTTATTAAAGTTCATATGATAAATATATAATATTTATAATTGAATATTTTATATTAGGAGGATATGGTGCAGTAATTTTAAATTTATTGAGAAAGGCAAAAAATCTTACTAGTAGACAATATGACGAATTAGAATTGCCATTAACTTTAGGTAGAGATTTTTCTGGCGTAATAGTTTCAAAAGGACATGGAGTTGGAAATAAATTAAAATTAGGTGATGAAATATGGGGTGTAGTTCCTGTGGAACAACAAGGTTGTCATGCTAATTATGTAGTTGTTAATAGTTCACATGTAAGTAATGTTAATTATTTAAATAAGCAAAAAAAAAAAAAAAAAGAAATGTATAAATCAAAAAGTTTACAAATTTATCTATAGGTTACTTTGAGACCTAGAAATTTGTCGCATATTGAGGCAGCCAGTATATTGTACACTGGTCTTACAGCTTGGTCTGCATTGTGGATCACTGGTGCATTATATTGTAAAAGTATAATGCCTCTAAAGAGAAGTAACAGAGTTTTAGTATTAGGTGGTGCAGGTGGAGTAGGAACTATGGCAATACAACTTTTAAAATCTTGGGATATGCATGTAAATCACTCATCGTATCAATAAATTTATTACTTCTATACATATTAAAACATAAATCAAACTGATGTAGGTTGTTACTACATGTAGTAGTGATGCTGTCAATTTAGTACAAAAATTAGGAGCTGATATTGTGATTGATTACAAATTAGATGGTGCTGATTCAAAAATTATTAATGAAGGACCGTATGTATTTTGTTCCTTAAATTTTCATTGATTCATTTTATATGAAATGATATAAATTTCTAATTTATTTCTAATTTAGTTATACCATAATTTTGGATTGCGCTAATCAAGGACCAGATATGATAAGATTAAAGGGTTATCCTCATTCTACTTATATAACTTTAAATTCTCCAATATTAAAAAATACGGATCAACATGGATTGATAGCAGGCACAGTAAAAAATATAGGTGAATTGTTGAAATATAACATGTCTATTGTTGAAAATAGAAGTACAGTGAAATGGGGTTTTTTTACACCTTCAACAGCAGGAATTAAAACTCTTAAAGAATTGGTTGAAACTGAAAAGGTAATATTCATTTCTATATATCATTTTAATTTTAATTTCAATAATAGCATATATATGACTTTTTACTTTGTTCAGCTTATTCCTGTAGTTAAAAAAGTATATTCGTTTCAAGATTTACCATTAGCATATGAGAGAGTAGCTCAAGGTCATTTACGAGGTAAATTAGTTATTGATATGACATAATATTAACATTATCAACAATTAATGCAAAAAAATTAATGCAATAAAATTATTCATACAATAAATATGCATTTTTTATATTATATTTTGTTTATTATATTTTGTACCGATTCATTAATACAGAAAATATCATTTTCAAAACCAATTTTATTCCTAACATCATACCAACAATCATTAGCTATTTCGATCGCTTTTTCTGTACCATTCTTCAAAATTTCTTCTAAATACATTGGATCTTTAATTAATTTTGAATATTCTTCACGAATTGGAGTTAATTTTTCTATAATAAAATCTGCCAGCATCAATTTATATCTATAACACATAAACGAATAAATTAAAATAAAATAATTTAAAATCGTACAATAAACAATGAAGAAAAATTGAATTGTTTAATATACGTACTTTCCAGTATCTAATTCTTCTACTTCAGAACATATTTGATCCTCAGACTTTCCACTAAGCATTGAATGAATAATAACTAAATTTGAAACACCAGGTCTTGTTTCTGGTTCATAAGTTACTTTCGAGGTACAATCAGTAACAGCTTTTTTTATCTTCTCCAGCAATACGTCAGGTTCATCTAATAAATCTAATCTACTTTTTGAATCTTTCTCAGACTTTGACATTTTCTTTAAAGGATCGCGAAGAGATTTTACACGTTGACTTGCATTTTCTGCAATATATATATTTTATTAGAAAGAAATAATTAATATATTTATCATTATATATTTTGTGTAGAAATAAAACTTTTACCATTAACTAAAGAATGAGGTATGGGAAAAGTATCTCCAAATTTTTTATTAAATTTAATAGCTAATTCTTGTGCTAATTGAATATGTTGAACTTGATCTTGTCCAACTGGAACATGTGTTGCTCTATAATTGAATATAAATAGTTTCTTCATGAAATTAGTTTCAATCAGGAAGTATAAAAAATTAATATGATCATTCTTATGAATAATTGAAATATTCTTATGAAAATTGAAAAAATATTCTAAGATATTAAGCATTATTAAGAAACTTTAATTTTATTATTTTTGTGAATACTTACTTATATAGTAATATATCAGCAGCTTGTAAAACAGGGTAAATATATAAACTCAAAGGGATGACTTTTAATGTCTGACTTTTTTCTCTATATTGAGGTAGACGAGCTAATCGTGCTTGAGTTGAAAGACATCCCAAAATCCAACTCAATTGTGTATGCATAGGTACAGTAGATTGTTGAAATAATATACTCTTTTTTGGATCAATACCACATGCTAACAATGTTGCTGTCATTTTAAATATATTATCATTTAACTCTTTTGGATCCTATTGAATATTATATTCACTCTCAATTCATATTTTTTTTCTTTTTTATTTTTAAAAAAAGATTTTTAAATTTATATAATCATATAATATATTATTATTCTTATAAAACAAGAATTAATGAAATATAAGATCTTGTTTATATTATTATTAATATAAATTAAACACGAAATACGTATTTAATAAATTCTTACATGTGATAAAGTAATAGCATGCATATCCACAATGCTCCAAATAACATTTTCTCCATTATCCTGGAATTGTATCCATTTTTGTATAGCACCGAGATAATTTCCTAAATGTAAATTTCCAGTTGGCTGAATTCCCGAAAATATTCTTTTTGGATAACATTTTGAAACCTACAATTAATTGATATATTTAAATAAAAAATTAATATTTTTAATATTGTGAAACTTAACCTTTTGACTATATTTTTTTATGAGTATATATTTGGAATTAATTCTTTGAAAACTATGAATATTTTTTAATCTTTTAAACATTTTCAATAAATTAGTACATTTAAATAGATTGTTATTTGAAATTAAATTCAAAATACGTGTTTTGAATTAAAATACTGAAAAACTTATCTAATATGAAACTAAATGTATTCTATATATTTTTTTATTTATATATATTTATTTATTTATTATTTATGTTATTATTTTTTATTTGTATACATATACGTAGTTATTAGTTTATGTGCAAAATTATATGCATAAATATTGTATATTACAATTTGCGGGAATTTTAAAGAACATATATATATACGAAACAAATCAAGTCTTTTATGTAATTATTATTATAGAATTTGAATATTGTTTATTTTTGCACAATTAAAAGAATTCATTATAATTATATTGTAATAAATATATTATATTTTCATTTCATATTCATATAAATACAATATAAATATGTAAAATAATTCTGAATACTAAAAAAAATAATTCATTATTTTTACAAATGATATGTACAATTTATTTGAAATAAATTTTCTGATATATTTTTGCTTAATTCTTTTTTTATTAGATGATACATCATTATATATTTTTATAGATACTTTCATATGTTTTCCTAGAACTAATAACATTTTTTACCAGAAGATAACTTCCGTTTAGCAATGCTGATTAAAGAAAACCACCAATGAGTTTGCCAAACTTAGTAAAGAAATATGTTTTAAGAAGTATACTTCATTCAATGAGAAAAAATGTCTAAAGTAAATAAATCAAATATGTAATGTTTTGAAATCACATAATATATAAAATTTGAAATTTAAAATAATAATTAAATAATACATCAAGATTAAGATTAGATTAAGATTACATTATATATCAATACATAAAACTATATTGATTCTCACTATAATACACCTGATGATCGTTTTTCATGAAAATGAGTTCACATTATATCATTTATTGTAAATTTTTATCTTAGAAACTATTATAGAAATTTAATTTCTTCTTATTTTAATTTAAAGATTTTGATAATATTTTACTATATATAATTTATAATATTTCAGACTTGTGAATCCAACTTTATTTATTTTAACTTTTATACTCATAAAGTTTTATTTACATTCGGTGACTCAACTAGTTGGATAAAGTATAATACTTGGAATATATTTTTTTGTTAGGATTGGCAAACTCGATAGTGATACGCAATTTCTACTAATATTAGTGTCATCTAGTAGAAGTTATTAGAGCTAACATCTTCTGCCACAGAATTTTCTCAATTTATATATACCCTTCGAAAAAGCAATTTGCATCTTAATTGTTGCACAGCTGATCTCGTAGTATCATCTAAAACGATATTTTTTTGTGTGTGTTTTTTTAATACTTATGAAAACTCGACTGTGAAAGAACATTACAGATATTTAGAGGTTTGTTTCGTATTTGTTAATAATCATATCTTATTATTCTTTTAACATAGTGACACATTCAAGGAAAATGTATTAAGCAAGTAATTCAGTAATAGTGAATGGATGAAAAGTGTATCGTCGAGATTTACAGAAGTAAAAATCGTGTGAATAATCTGTTTTGGTGTTTGAGTTTTATTTATTGGACTATAGTCAACGGTTATGGTATATTTGTCGGGTACCTGGGGTATGGGAGAAACAAAATCGCAGTGCCATAATACAAATAATTCCTCCTTTCTGCAGGAGAATGATGAAGAAGTCGCATTATTACCACTCAAAAATCAGGTGATGATAATTTGTTTTATTTCATTATACTAGTATATGTTTAAATAAAATATTGCCTTTATAATAATAATATTACCTTTGTTACCATTTATTTTTTATCTTTCTAATTTTTAATGATAATATTTAGTAAGAAAGATTGTTTTTGTTTATTTGATTTTATGAATCGAAAAATTAGCAATTATATATTTTTTTCTTTTTTGCTTTTATTTGTTTTTATTTAATACAATTTTATATTCATACAATACATCATACAATTTTATATTCATTTTTATTCATTATTTATTCACGTTTATTTGTGAATAGAATTATCTATTTTTTATTCTTATTAAATAAAACTATAATAAGAAAATATGTTCAGAAAAATTATTAGAATTATAAAAGAATCAAAGAAAAAGAATAGAAGATAGTCAAAAAAAAAAAATGAAATTATATATATGATATATATGATGATATTATGATTCAGTAATGATTCATTAATAGAATTCTATACTATGCATTTTTTTAATATCTATTCATCGCAAATAAATAGAATTAAAAATAAGAACTATAAATAAATTTTGTTACAAATTGCATAAATATTTGATCAATGCACAAGACTTTTTATTTGTTATACTATATATTTAAAAATAAAGCATTTTTTATAAAAATATTAAAAAATTATAACAAAATAATTTTATATATTTTATAGGTTGGTGGACATACAAGATTACTTTTACTAAATCAAAATACTATTTGTAAACCATTAAACTGTAGAGAACTTGATTTTTATCAAAACATTCCACAAGATATTCAAGTGTTTGTTCCAAAATTTAAAGGTAAGATTTTATTATTTCTTATTTCTTTTTTTTTATTATTTTTTTTTATTTATAAATTAATTATATTGATATCGATTAAATGAATTAAATTATGAATTAATCAAATTTTTTTTCTCATCCAGGTGTTTTGCAAGCTTCCAATAGTGGTGAAGTTACATTAGATAAACGTTATAGTCCTAGTTTTAGAGAACATGATAATAGACAGGGACATAATTCAAGTAAAAGAAAAAGAGAAGATGTATTAAGGTATATATTTGAATTTTTTATGTTAAAGTTACATTAATTTAATTAATGCATAAATATTTTATTTTATAAAGATTAAAAATAATAATAAATTTTAATTATTAATTTTTTTGTATTAGAATGAAAATTCATCGTGATAACACATTAGCAGGGATATTAAAACCAGGAATGCATTTGGACAATGCACCAAACAGACAATGTATGTATGCAAACATTAAATAACATTTTTGTATAAAAAATGTTATACAAAATTAACATTTTTTATGTAAGAAAAGAATAATATAAGAATTGTAATATAATGTTGTAACATATATGATTGATAATTTTTTTTATAATAACTGATAATTTTTAATAATTGAAAAGAATGGTTAATTTTTTTTTTTTGTTTTCTTGAACTAAAAGATTTCCTTTTATTGGAAAATATAACATCACAATATACTCATCCATGTATATTGGACTTGAAAATGGGGACCAGGCAACATGGTGATGATGCATCTGTTGAAAAACGTAATAAACAAATTGCAAAATGTGCTGCTAGTACATCAGCTTCATTAGGTGTTAGATTGTGTGGAATGCAGGTTCGTGATATATAATATAATCTTGAAATGATATATATAATATTTTTACATTAATGTCTATATAATATCATAATATTAACAATGAAAGTAATAGTAGCTATAACTTTTTTTATAAAATTTGATAGTAAGATATTACAAATATGATACATAATGATATATATATAATATGATAAACGATATATATTATAGGTTTATCAAGCCAATACCAATCATTATGTAAAAAGGGATAAATATTGGGGTAGAGCGTTAAATGAAGAAGGTTTTAAAGCAGCATTGTATCGTTTTTTTCACAATGGCTTTTGTTTACGAACGTTAGTTATCGAAAAAGTGGTATCACGATTAGAACAATTACGACGTGCAATAGAGAGACAAAGCAGCTATCGATTTTATTCGTGGTAATTTTTCGTTGGAATATTTTCAAGAACACTATTATTTAGGAGTTAAAAAGAAAAGTACTCAATTGCTTTTAATATTCAAATTTTTTATTACGATTATCATATTAAAAATGTCAGAAATTCATATTCTCTTTATTAAATTTGTTTTAGTTCATTATTAGTCGTTTATGAAGGTTGTCAAATGGATTTTTCGGGGTTCGGTCATTCATCGTCTTTATTACAAATGGACGAAGATTCAACAAATTCTAGTTCTATTAGTGATGACGGTCCTCATACCTCGGATAGCTGTTACGATGGTGACATAAGTAACAGTTCCACAGATTATAATCTTTCAATCGAAGAAGAAATCGGTCAAACGAGTACTTTACACAGAGGATTTGGCAAGGCAGCAACTCGAGGGGCCAAACGTATCGCCAGATTTTACCCTACAAGGTTTGTAATTGATATTTTTTTTTCAATCATTAGCGGGTAAACATTGTTGTTAACATTTTTAGATAAAAAAATATTGATTATTCCGTTTCGATTCCGTTTCGATAAATATTTGTAAATATTATATATTTAATATCAATATTAAATTTATAAATATTAACAGATTATAATAATAAAATAGATTTAAAAATAAATTGTATATACACACAATAAAATCTTCTTTAAAATTATATGAATTAATATGAACAAATGAATATGATATATTTCAATATGATTAACAATGCAAAACGATTCGACACGGAAAGATCTGAATTAAATCTGAATTAAATTCCTAACGTTGTGATTTCGTCAAAAATTTACAGCAGAATATAATTTCAGGTGTAAATCTTCATTTACATTTTTTTACGTTTTATGAAGTAATTTATTTAGTTATATTTTTATTTATATTTATTATATTTTATACATATATATGTATATTATTTTGTATGTATTACAACAATAGGAATCTAACGAATATTTCTTTTCCTTTTTCTTTTAAATATTATAATTAGATGATAATTGCACATATCAATAAACAATTTAATACATTTAACCCTCCGATATATTTAAATAGAAATCGGAATGCACAATCTGGTGAAGTATGTATGTATAAGGTATATCATGCGTATATTTTAGTAATTCGTCCGAATCTATATATTATATATATATGTACTATATTCTTTTTTCTTTTCTTTTTCTTTTTTTCTTTTTTTCTTTTTTTTCTTTTCTTTTTGCGTATACGTTTTCTTTCTTTAAACAATCATTTATCATAATTTTTATCGAAATTTTTATCAAAACAATCGAAGAAGAATAAATTATATTTGATAAAATTTAAAACAATTGCATATATCGAAATGTTCCTATATTAATATTCATTTTCAAATTGAAGATAAAACATACTCCATCAGAAAATTGGAGGGTTAGTTATTACGACGATTTCAATGTATATTCAAATTATTTATTTCAATTATATTTTGTTAAAAACCGGTTTAGAGAAAATATCGCATCTTCAGTCCCTTAGTGTATTGATACTCACACAA